GCTTCCTTTGAAGTGTGTCATGTCTCATCTCATAAATGTAATCCAGCATCAAAGGTCCTCGGGCCCTGGGATGCTAAACTGTTTACTCTCCATTTTGCCATATACAGAAAGGCTACCCTTTATTCCCCAGCCTCAAGGAAAAGACGCAGAATAGAGCTAGAGTAGCCAGCCCTGAGTTGGCTTGAAAAGCCTGAGCTGGGAGAGGAGGCAGTTTGCCTGGCAAAACCCAAATGTGGACATGCATGGGTCACTGGGTAGGGGCGGTGGACTGTGAGGAGCCATCCAGTCACGAAATGCATCTTGACAGTGTGTGCTGACCAATGGTGACCTTGGAGCGGCGACATTTATCAGCCAGAGAGCCGTGAACTTAGTTGTGTTCCTTTTACTTGAACCTGGTGCTACCCTTGGGGACCGAAGCCACACACTTGTTAGATGGCTAATGGACAGGACACCCCAAAAGGCATATCAGAGACTGAGTTTCCTCTGCTGGAGGGTAATGTAACCAGTGCATCTATGTTTAACTCTTTAGCCCCCAGGCCTGAGGCTCACCCAGCAGAGGGGGAGGGACTGTAAGTGGCCCTTAGCTAAAAGTGGCACTTTTTCTGGCTTACCCACCCAGCAAAGTTAGGCAGCTCCAGCTGGAATGAGCTGGGCCCATCTCTCTATGCTATGATTCGAGAAAAGAAGTCCATTTTGGCTAACCTCAACTTTTTCACCATTAAATCTGCACCTGCAATGTCAGAGGTCACCCAATAATAAAACATGGCATCTTTGAAACTGCTCAGTCACGTGAAAGGAGGCTGTAATTGAGTATATTCATTCCCTGAAGCCCCATCCGAAACCCACAGTTCCTGGCGTTGGGGTAGGGTGGGGGTGTGGGGGGTGATGATGGGAGAGGACAGGATGGGGAGCCAGGCCCTGGGAAGGGACCCTAGGAGCAACAGAAGCTTCTGATGTGGTCCCCTGCTTCTGAAACCTGAGACTAAAAATAAATAAATACCCTGGAATTCTCTCCACCCACACTCTCACACCCAAGCTGGCCCCCAGCCTTTGTGGGCAGTTTGACCTGATAAATGCGCTTGGCTGGCATCAAATAGTTTGGCTTTGACCGGTCCCATTTAAATATGTGAATTAGTCATGAAGCAGACACAGCTTGGCGAGCGGGATAAATTGCTGGACCCCATTGAAGGAGGAGGCAGAAGAAAGGAGGAAGGCATTCGGCCTTCTCAATCGGGTACAGAGGTTAGAGGTGCCCAGCGACCCTCATGTCTCCTCGCACTCCTCACCAAGCCTTAACGCAGGCTGGGGAGGAGATGCCATCCCCAGCCATTGCACAGGTCACTTGGTGCCACTGTGGGCCTTTTCTCCTCTCTTGAGGGAGAAAGGAAATGGTCCTTCAGAAGCCTTGCATAGACTGCCCACGCTGCTGTGGGTGGCCCCTGAATTTCACAGGAGATGAGCATGAGGGCAACCTGCTTGAGCCAGCAGGCCTCTGAGCTGATGTCACCGTGGCAAGAGCCAACCTGGAGCTTCCGTAGGTTTTTCTCTACACCCAGTGCCCAGTCTTGTGTCCACAATGGGGGAACCACCAGGAGTGGACTGGACCTCCGGACAGGACAGCAAGTCCCCTCAGAGAGAAAACCCAAAGTCCCTGTTCTCTCTGGTTTCTTTTTTTCTTTTCTTTTCTTTTTTTGGTTTTTTGAGACAGGGTTTCTCTGTATTGTCTTGGAGGCTGTCCTGGAACTCGCTTTGTAGACCAGGCTGGCCTCGAACTCACAGAGATCCACCTGCCTCTGCCTCCCGTGTCTCTCTGGTTTCTTACAACTGTCTTTACCGCACACATGTCCCGATGTGTCACCCACTGGGGCAAAACAAGTTTGTCTTTTAGGCCACCTGCTTGCTGAGATTGGAGTTGGGTGGCAGCTGGCCCCAGCCAGGAGAGGACAACATCAAGGCCTGCTGTTTAACCCCCACCCCACTTCTAACTCGGGCATTCTGCAGACCCTTCTGTCTTGGCCAGTTGTTCTAAGCCACAGTTACACACCACCAGTGACGACCTGCCCAGACAGTTTGCTTCAAGGGTGGTTGCGGAACAGTGGTTTAGTCAGAGTGAGTTGACTGTCTTGATCTGTATATGAGGAGTGAGTCAAAGCTGTATAAAATAAAATAGCAATCCCTGGGTTGCCAGGAGGAAAAGCTTCAGGGCAGAGAGCCAGGCAGAGCGTGAGCAAGGCTGTGAGCACAGGCCCCAAAGCTTGGGGAAAGTCCAGCTCTGGGGCCCCCAGCAGCTCTCTGCGGGCGCTGGCAGCTTTACCCTGGGTTTGTGGGCTCACTACATGCGCTTTAAACCGTGGCCGAGAGCTGGAGCGGTGCCTGGAAGCGGCTTCGAAACGATGAAGTCGCAGCGCCCCCTGCTGGTGCGCGACCGCAATAGCGATCTGAGCTGTTCTGAGCCTGTACTGGAGCAGTCCTAGGACTTGAGAGGTTTGGCGTTTCCCCCAGCATACAAGATTGCTAGCTCCCACAAGGACCTGAAGCTTGTCTGGAAGCGAGTAGCCCCTGCTGCGTCCTTCCTTCTGTCCTATTCAGTTCACCCACGTATGCCTAAAGTGAGGCAAAGCGCCCAAGGCAATCTTTCGTGCTGGCTGCGGATTGCTTTATAACCATAGTAAAAGGCAAGTTCGTTCTTTCATAAATGTGAAAATCATGTCACCTAGTAAGTGCCAAGTGGTAGGACCTGCCAACTTGGCATCAGCTGCTTTCTCATGGCAGTCCTCTGTCTAAACGAGACCTGGAAACTCCCGAGATCCCAGCAGCCACACTCAGCCTATGGGCTTGTTCATTTACTCTGATCTCGGAGAACATCCTGCCCTTGCTACTTTGGTCGCCTTCAGTTGTCACCAAGCAGGCGCATATACCGCTTATCACCAACTCCCAGGTTGGCTACTGCCCTCAGTCACCCACACAGCCGCCACAGGGATCCTCATGGACCCCCATCACATCCAGTTAATGATTAAAAGTTTTTTAAAAAGATCTATTTTTTTATTTTGTGTGTGTTTTTCCCATGGAGGTCAAAAGAAGTCAGATTCCCCTAGAACTGGAGTTACAGGTGGCTGTGAGCCACCATGTACTGGGAACCAAACCCAGGTCCTCTGCAAGAGCAGCCAGTGCTCCTAACCCCTGAGCTGTCTCCCTAGTCCAGATTAAAAGTTTCTTTCCTCAGGATGCTGAGGCTGTAGGGTGACAAATCCCAAGCCCATCAGAGCTATAGAGTGGGGTCAAGGCCAGCATGGGCAGCTTTTTTTTTTTAATCTTTTGGTTTTTCAAGACAAGGTTTCTCTGTATAACAGTCCTGGTTGTCCTAGAACTCACTCCATAGACCAGGCTGTCCTTGAACTCTTTGCAATTCACCTGCCTCTGCCTCCTGAGTGCTGGGATCAAAGGTGTGTACCACCATCACCCAGCTTCCTTTGATTTAAA